GAACTGAGCATCCTATAGAACGAGATCTGATGGAGATGGAAATCAATCAACTCTAAACCCTACTACTGGTGGTCTTGTGAAATATGATAAAATGAAGGATCGTGAGGAGTTAGCAAAAATGATTGCTTTAGGTTGTCTTTCTTTTTCTTTTGCTTCTTCATCATATCTTATTATGTATATTCAAATGATTTACAATCCTTTATTTAAAGATATCCCTAGAAGTACTTGTAGAGCTGATATCTTTAGACTGCATGGACAATATCAAACATACATACATTATTTGTTTAGCCACCTTCCTTGTAGAGTTTGTCTAACTTCTGATATTGGCCATGCTGTTAATGGAAATGATTATTTGACAATTACATGTCATTGGATAGATAATACTACTTGTATGAAAAAATGTATTATCGCTTTTAAATATGATGAAGATCAGAGTCATACTGCTGCGTTTATAAGCAGTACTATTTGTGAATGTGTTGAATTTTATAATCTCAAGCAAAAAGTATTGTGTATGTCTTTTGATAATGCTTCTAACAATAATGCTGCAATTTCAATATTAAAACTGCATTTGCAACCACCTCTTGATGAATTTTTTCATGTTAGGTGTGCATGTTATGTTTATAATTTAATTGTTAAAAGCGGCCTTGATTTATTTTCAATTGAGATTACTCATGTTAGAAGAGAAGTTGGTGTTATTCAAGGAAATAATAGACAATCTAGAATAAAGGAATTTAAGAATAAGTGTGTCCAGTATAACCTTAAACCCAAATTCATGCCAGGCGAAATTGTTACTAGATGGAATTATACATATATATTTTTAAAATGTTGCTACAAATATAGATTCCCAATAACTGAAGTTGCTAATGCGCATTGTACTGATCTAAACCGTATGTTAACAACTACTACTTGGGAGGTCATTAATGATGTTGTTAAATTTTTACATAAATTTTATACAGCTACTGTTGAGTTTTCTGGAGCATATTACCCTATTGTTACTATGACTTTAGTACTTATAGCTGAAATTTCTTTTCTACTCTTTGAATTTAAGAAGAAAGAAAAATATATGGATGTTGTTGAAAAAATGCCAGCAAAATTCAAAAAATATTTCTTTCCAATTCCTCTGATTTACTTAATTGGTGCTGTTTTAAAACCTTCTATTAAGATGTATAATTGTCACCAATTAATGAATGCTTTATATACTTATATGGAGATTGGACCAACTGAAACCCCAGATTTATATACTTGTATGAACAAGCTAAATGAATATTTACAGCAATTATATAATTATTATACAAATGTAATTGATGATGCTGCTCGTAGTGTAGGTAATGTTAATCCCACTATGCACAGTGCCACTTCTGCTACTGTGGATGATGAAGAAGGCCTTGATAGTTGTAATATTTTTTCTACATTTTCTAACACTCAAACCAGTAGCAGGAACATCAATGAACTTCAATTCTACTTGCAGAAGCAAAAAGAGCCTCGCACAAAGGAATTTTCACCGTTGGGATGGTGGCATGAGAATGGAAAGCAATTTCCTGTTCTTTTTGCTATGGCTCGGGACGTGCTGAATGTGCCAATTTCAACTGTTGCATCAGAGAGTGCATTTAGCCAAGAAAGACAACAACTTGGAGACACCGTCACTTATTGGGAAGCAATGCTTTGGAAGTTTTAGTATGTTTCAGAGATTGGATTAGATCGGAACGAAGAAATCAAGGGCGTGAAGATGTTGATAGCCTAGAAGACGAGAAACTTGGAGATATATTAACACATGGTAACCCATCCTAATTTAACACTCCAGAAGAAGGTCACTCAGTTCATATTGATTATGAAGAACTTACTAAGGCAATGCAAAACCTTTGAATTTACTCCTTTTTGGTTAATTTACTTGTTGTTAAATGTAAACCTTTCAATTTGTAAGTTTGAATTTTGAAATAAATGTAGCACTTGAAATTTATAAGTGCAATTTTTTTCCATCTTACTTGTATTCTTTATATTAATATAACTTACAATAGTTATACAAAATACAAAATTTTATAAAAAAAATACACTAAACCCGGCCCGGCCCCCTCAACCCGTAACCCGTACGGTTTAATTTTTACCCGGATGAACCCGAACCCGTTCCCAACCCGTAACCGGCTCGGACCATAACCCGTACAGGTACAAAAAATCCCAACCCATCCCGACCCGACCCACCCATTAAGCACCCTTAGTTCGACCTCGTTCGAACTATGACGAGATCCTACTTCGACGACAGTTCGAAGCAACATCCCAATGGCCAAGGCCATCGACAAAAACATGGGTTCGACCTCGTTCGAACTATGACGGAATACTACTTCGACGACAGTTCGAAGCAACATCCCAATGGCCAAGGCCATCGACGAAAAAAGGAATCTTCGCCCAACATCTAAATCAACTTAACAGCTCGACAGGTATCCCGGATATCAGAAACATTGCAAAGAAGAACAAATCGACAAAATATATTTTTACATTGCAACAAAATGTTATTTACACTTGTCTTTACAAACGGGCTCAAGTATGCCCCTTACAAAAACCCCAAAATAAAAACAAGTACAAACAAAGACTACACATCATCCCCGGTGGGGTAAGCATCTTCGTACCACGAGTCCGAAGCAAGACGGTTTGCATCATCAGAATTGATGTCATCCCCGTCAGGTGTAAGGGGGTCATACCCGTAGGCCTTACGAGCTGCACGAGCTTCGGTGTGCACGGCCTGAAGCTTTGCCTCAGTTGCCCTCCCCTCGGCGTGAAAAGCCTTGTACATGTCAAGCCGGGCCTCAGCATGGACCCACAACTCATATAAACGATGAGGCATGACCGGATAGGCTGAGGCACGAGACATAGAAAGCTGAGAATGTCGACTTGCATCCTCCGCCCTCAGCAAGGCCACTTGTCCATTTAACACAGACAGCTCCGCCTCCAGTTCTTTGACATGCCCTTCGAGCCTGACGACCTTGCGATTAGAGGTCATACGGCCAACGAAGTGGTAGGGAAAATATTTCCAGAGGGGACTTTAGGTCCATAACGCTTCACGAAGGCGGGCCAATCTCGGGTTTCCGGTGCACGAGGCAACAGACAGGTTACCCAATCCCTGATATCCGCAATAGGGCGAGGTGGACGTCCCATAGCTGCAAAAGGGAAGCAAACAAACTTTATAATGAATACAGATGAAGGAAGAGTAAAACGAGTGGCGACACTTACGAGTCTCATTCCATCACTCCGGGAACCTGGCGAAGTCAGAAATGACATGTTCGGTCTTGACAAAGAAGTACTTGTGCCAAAAATTGCGACTTGCCCGGTCATCTGTCCCGACCACCAGCCCTTTCGTACCACGGAGCCTCAAATGCACCATGGTACCCATGTGGAAGCCAGACGTGAACAGGTGCAAAAGGTGGTGAATTGAAACGTTACACTCCGCCAATTCCGCATACTTGGTCAGCAACAAAAGTATCTTAAGCGTATACGACGAAAATTGTGCCAGACAAACTTGGTAGAACCTACAGAACTCTTCCGCTAAGGGGAAGAGAGGATATGAAAGGGTACTCATCGAAAGCACAGTACCCAGGTCTATAGACATCTACGGAATCTTTCCCCGCCGAAACCATATCTACATGAGTGGGAATGCCATACTTCACACGAAGAACGTCAATATGAACTTGCTCCGTCTCAGAGAGTACGGGGTCCAGAGTAGGAGGGGGATCTTTAAGGAAGTCACTTCGAGACAAGGAGTGTCTCGACAGTAATTCCTCCACCGTAGGAAGGCTGTCACCCTTTTCTACCGCCGTGTCTTCATCGCCCGAAGGGGGCACCATGGACGATGGAACGACTTCAGGAATTCCTTTGTGAGATTGGTGTTGCCTCGGCATGCTTCTGTTGAAAGAAAGGAGGTGCTGATACCGTAGAAACAAAGGAAGAAGATGAAGTTGTGAACGAAAAATATAAGAAGAAGAAGCAAAAGATTATCAGTGTTAGCTCGGAGAGATAAGGAGGTTATCAAGAGTGGAATGGCCAAAAACTTTCGAAAGATCAAACCCTTCACCTATTTATAGGGTTGTGTGGCACCAGAATCGAAGCAGAGAGTCACAAAGTAACGCTAAAATCGAAGCATCAAGCTATCAACTCCTGCCTCGAGAACATGCGTGATGATGACATCATTTCCCAGTAAAGTAGATTATCCGGTGTCTTGCTAAGCACGCTGACCATCCCCCATTGACCACTTCGTAATGTCTCAACTACTCAAATTTCTCCATAGGAACGCATGGTGTCCGCTCATCGAGGACGCATCCAGTTGCGACCCTGACAAGCGGATGGACTAATTGTATGGGTCCAAATTTGACTGACCACGACCAACGACGAGTACGACGATTGACAGAGCCTCCTTGAATTGACGTCCTGAGAGAGATGACCCTAAGACAAACCAGGGAATGGACGACCCTTGTAATAATGCATGCCCATTAGGGGACATTGGGAATATTCCTTGTAATTTGTCGTTCACTGCTTAGAAGAGTCTGGCTCTTTATATATAGAGAGGGTAATAACCTTGCAGAGGGGATCCTGGCTACATTGCTATTTATGAATAAAAAGAAATCTCGTGATCCATCTTCTCTTGATTGATCGCTCTTTCTAGAGATTATTATTCTCAGTTAAGATTTGTCCAATCAAAGAAACAATGTTTTAACATTTTTGAGTCAAAGGTGTTTAGAGACTACATTGCCCCTGAGGCGAACCCCAACTTTGTATTTTAAAACTTTGTTGAGATGAAATTAATTGATAAATGATGATGATGAAAATACACCTGACTCGTGAACCTCACTTTTCCACGCTGTAACGGCATAGGAGTGCCATGTTTTTGCCACTCTATCGTGTATGTCACTACCCACCAAAATATGCGTTGGTTATTGCGGAAAAAAGGAGGGAAATAAGGGACAAAATTCTAAACTGGAGTAAAAGTTAAAACAATAAAAAATTGCAGGTTCACAGTTCACACAAACCCTAGATTAGAATACTCCCTTTCCCTTTTTCTTTTATTCTACTTTTGACCCCCTTACTTTAATAAAATTTCAATATACTTTCCCTCCGGAGTGTGGTTTCCTCCATGAAATGGGAAATGGAGGTGTATGAAATCGAAGCTGTGCTCGAGAAAATCTGGGATTTACACGATAAGCTCAGCGATGCTATTCACTCCGTTTCTCGAGCTCACTTCCTCAATTCCGTTAAGTCTCGTTCTAAGTCCGATGACAACTTCTACAATCACCGGTCTAAGAAGAAACCCGACCTAAATTCCGATGAAAACCCTAACAATGGAGATCAGGTGAAAACCGGCTATGTTTTCGTTAAGGAGTTCCGTGTTGACGATGATGATAACGCCGTTCATGAGGCTAAGAGTCTCAACGCTATTCGTACCGCTCTTGAACACCTTGAGGACCAGCTCGAGTTCTTCCATGTAACTTCCTTTTTACTTTTCTATTTTATTTTTAATCTATTTTTCAGTCTTATGGCGTTATTGTTCTATTTTGTTTATTCAATTTCGGTTACCTAACGAGACCGGTAACAAAATAGGGAATAGAAATTACCGAACGTTGTGGTAAGCCTTAGTTTGATGTTTTTCTACACTAGACATTATGCTGTTATTAATGCGAATGCTAAATTGAATTAAAAACGCATGTTTCAAGTATATGTGTTACATCTTATTTAGCGCTCTGCAGCAATAACTGCACTACTTGCAAGAGACGCTGGAGGGCTGGGAATACGAAATAAAAGAGAGAAAACAAAAGGAGTTCATGCTTCTAATTAAAACGGTGTATTTTTGTCATACTGATGTTACTGTTATCAAATTAGCTCTGAAAATTTCCGTGTTGTCCACTGTGGAGAAATTGTTGCAGAGATTTTTTGGTTATTTGATACTGTGACATGCAATTCACGATTGGGTAAGATGGTGTCTAACATGATCTTTGAACAATGCTTTAAACTGAAATGAAACAGGAGTCTTCTGAGTTTTGACAGCTGGTTTCTATGTGCTGTCCACAGAGAAAAGATTGATACTATATGTTCTGCAGACTTGGTAGTATTTTTGTCAGAAAAAGTTTTGTAGAACTCCTAAGACAATGCCATGTGGGATAGCCAGATAAATGCAGTTCTCTTTTAGGTTGCTAGCGACGTTTATTTTACTCTGCATATTAAGCAACTCTTTTGGGTTGAATGAGGATGGGAGAATGGTTATGAACTAGCTGGGTTTAGTGTATGCATCTCTCATGGTGTATGTTCATTGAGGTTGGTATCAATTAATCAGTTGATATTTATTGAAAATAATATAAAGATGTACATGTACGTTAAAGAGCTGTATCGAACTTAATGGGTGTGTGCAATATAATGTTAAAACTTGATATTGATAGGATCATTAGCAATAAAATGGAGCGAGCAACTAGGAGTAGTAGGGATGGCCAATCATCTGGTAACTGGTTTGAACTGATCTCTTTTGGTTTTCCTAATAGATAATCTGAGTTCTTTTTTCAACAAGAATAGACTGTGTCCACACTCCACAGGACTAGATCAGAAAATGCGAAGGCAGATTCCAGCTATAAATAAAGCAGATTCCTCATCTAGACAAACAACAATAAGCAAAAACCACCACTAGACGCTGCAATACTTTCAATTTTGGCTTTGCAAGTTGTCGAAACCCAAAATGAGACGACAAGTGACCATTGGAGTCACAATCTTCCATAATCCAAGAGGTGAAACTAACAGATTTGATGGAACTAAGAAAGTGAGAGAGCTGTAATGTCTTAGCCACCAGAGCTTAGAAGAAGTTGATTTCACATTTTTTAGATTTTTTGGGGCATTTATGTGGTATAAGTATAACTTTTGGTTACTTGAAGTTTTTGGTTCTTCTACCTTAATGGTTCTATTCTTTTACAGCTGAGACCCAAGCGAAAGATTGAAGTATTTAAAGTTCCAAACCCAATTGTTTTCCGAACATAACCAAACCAAAAGTACCAGGAAATTTTGGATTGACTGATATTTCTGTTTTCCATAATTGCATAAATATTTGGCATTTTCTTTATTGTTAAATATTTGATATTTGAATTAGAAAGGTGGAATTAAGAAACCTTAGGAGATACAGATGCCAACTTGTTTGAAGTTTATTCATTATTCAAGGGCCATCCATACGTGACTAACAATCAAAGTAAGAAAAGCACTATACAATTGAGGAGGCTTCAAGCAAACAAAAGATCATAGTGCTTATCACAACAAAATAAAAAATAAGAAAAGAAGAAAGAAAAAGATCAGAGTATAACTGTTAAAGAGCTAACCGATTGTAATTCTAAATCTGTCATAACTTATCCAAAAAAATAGTAAATCCATCATCAAAATTTTGGGATTGCAGTTGAATCAGGGATATCACCTATCTATCAGAGTATTACTTTAAGAACTATGTCCACTTCCACCCAATATTTATCACTGATCTCAATATTTTAGGATCAGAATTTGCTTCATGACGAGTGTGAAGTGTTCCATTTATAAACTGTTAGATTTATTTTAAAGTGATGCTCCAAAGTGTTCATAATTTCTTTTGAAATAGTAATGGTCAAAATGTTCATAAATTTCACCATTGAGAATTATTCCGGTTGTTAGTTATCGACATGCTACATATATGTCTGAAACCTAGAAGGGATGCCAATTTTCTGGTTGAATCGCTCTGCAGTTTCTGTTTAACACTGGTAAGTTAGGGAGATTCCCGATTGGGAGCTGCTCTGGTTCTTGTGGATTTCTTTGGTTCCTGAGGGAAGTCGTGGTACACAATGCATAAGACCAACTGTTCTGCTAGTCAGCTTGGAAAATATTGGAGTAATTGCAGTAAAAGCATTCTGTTTCTTCTCGAAGTGCATTATTTGAAGTGGGTTGGGTCAAAGCAGTGCGGAGGTGTGCGAGTAGCGCAAAGTACTTTATAAACAGAATCAAGAGAATCGGTTAAAGGGAAAGTTAAAAAGCAAGTAGAAATGGTAGGGAGATGTATTTGAAGACAAGTAGTTGATTTGAGCTTTTTACACTGACAAAAGTATGTTTAAAGTAGAGGAAACCTTGAGTTTGATTTACACAAGGATGCAAATAAATATATCCTGTCATTTAACTGTTTCTGGGTTCTTTTTCTTTATTGCTGAAATATAGTCCTCTTGAAGCATTTGCATAGTGATAACTTAGTTGGCTCTTTGCTTTATAACATTCACAGTTTGATTGAGTTTAATATTATATTACGTCTAACACATAATTAACTTTAGTTACCTTTTTTCTTCTTTTTTGGTGTATTAATACCAGACCGTGCAAAATCAGCAACGTGCAGAAAGGGATGCTGCACTTGCTCGCTTAGAGCAAAGCCGAATTATACTTGCAATGCGATTGGCTGAACATCAGGGTAAGAACTATAAATTCATTGAAGAAGCTCTATCTTTGGTGGGAGACGTCCGTAATGCCAGTCAGTTTGTTTCTCCTGAAAATCTTTATGGTCCTACTTCAAACCCCCCAGGTGAGAATTTCATGCGACAGAAGGGGAAGAGATCAAATGCTCTATTCAATATACTCTTCTCTAGTTTTAATTTCATTAGGAAGTCTCTTAGAGTGGATCAAGTGGGTGGAATTTTGGGAAACGCGGCCCTTGTTGCAATCAGCATGCTTGCACTGATGCATCTGCAGCAAGCTGGTAGCAAGGAAAAATACCTTTTGGACCTCCCATTAGGACAAGATGTCGGCTACAACAGAAATATGAGAAAAGTTTCTCAGCTTGAGGGGTCATCTTCCGGTCTAAATTTGGATGTTTTGTCAGCCAGGGGCTGACACGTAAAATAAAGTTGGTATGATGAGAATAGCAGAGAAAGAGGTATTACATAACTGCTTCCACTTGGCTGCTGAAGTTTTGTTGATTGATGGGAGAGCTTTTGTTTTGGTGATTGCTATACGTGGTACGTTGAGAATAGCGGGGAAAGAGGTATTAGGTAACTGCTTCCACTTGGCTGCTGAAGTTTTGTTGATTGATGGGAGAGCTTTGTTTTGGTGATTGTTATATGCTTAGTCATGTACACCAACTTTTAGATCTATTAAAGCAGAATGTGAGTTTGTGTTCAGTGGTGTTTCTCTTAATTTCTGATAAAAAGTGGAGTCTTGTGTATATAAGATAGAATGTCAACTGTGTCTTTATGGAGTATGAAATTGTATAACTCGAAGAAAGCTAACAAATGAAGAATTTTTGTTTGTCCCAATTACGCCTAGGTTCTTATTGTAGCCAAAGCTTACAAGGTGGAAACACCAAGTTTCTTATGGTAGTCAAATCAGACGGGTTATATTGACTGTGTTTGCTATCTTTAATGTTGTAAAGAGCGACAGCTAACATTTCTTTGGAACATATGACCAATTTTATACTACTATGTATGTTTCAGCGAAAAGTTCAAGAAATTTGACTACTTGTTACCAAAAAACATGTCATTCCTTATCTAAATGTAACATGCAGAAATGATGTTTATTAGTAATGAATGTTAGAAGATGAATAAACATGCACGAATGCTAATTGTCAATTGTGTCAAAGTCCGACTATAGGAGTACACCAGGTCAAATGTTGAGCTTGGAATGAGAATAGCAGTTTTCGGGAAAGATTGGGAGATACCTGAATTCTATTTTCTGCCCCTATGCGTCCTCTGTGGACATTGTAATTAGAGGCGAATACAATATTTAAAATTGACGGGCACTTCTTGGCTTCTTGAATGATTAAGGTGACCTTAGTACCTTGTCTAATTTTCAAGACTACAACTTTATAATTGAAAATTAGTCACTAGTGTTTAAATTTAACTGCAAAAACTCCAATGACAACTTGTGGAATTTGAAACTCCATGATAGTGGCTATTTTTCAATTAGGGGGGCTGAAAACTATATATGAAAATTTTCTACTTTGAACTCAATGTAAGACTCGGGTTTTCGTTGGTTCTCCTGAAAGCCCAAAAATATGAGCTCATTCCCAGATTGAAGTCCACCAAAGACTTTAGCGACATTGTATGGTCGCTCTCAAAATAAAAGCCGAAAAAACGTATATTTTTTTGTATATATATACACACACATTCTGTATGTTATACAAAAATTATACATATTTTATACACTTTTTCGGTTAATAAATATAAATAGTTTATGCCACGGGCTAAAAGTGATCCTAACTAAATAGAACACAAACTTCCATTCCATCTATCATATCAGTCGAGTCAATCCTATTCGTTCTTATCTATAGATAACGCAAGAGAGAACTTATGACCTCGCGGATGGAGAGGGATTCGAACCCCCGATATTTCTATAAATACTTCGGTTTTCAAGACCGACTCTTTCAACCGCTCAGACATCCATTGTATCCTAAAGACTTCTTCCTCGTATAGTTGTGAACACGATTATTCAATTAATTTTCTACTAAAGAGTATGATTATTTGGGGACTAGACCTAATGAGCAGCAATTAAAATGAGATGGTCCACCTTGTTTTCTGGATAATCCTAAATAACCAGATAAGCATGCTATGCTTAGAGGAAAGTAAGAATTAAAAAATACAACAAATGCCATTAGTATTAAACAACAATCAGAGTCAGGCCCAGAGATTACTTGCAAAATCAGCAATCCTTTTTTGCAAAGAGGAATGTCTGCAAAGTAATTGCATGGGATCTGGGAGGGCCCTTTTCAAATCTCTACTTTTGCAAATTGCGTTTTTAGCTGGTGAGTGTGAAAACTGAAAATCCTTTGGTGGGGTTGGGAAAGGAATGGTGGCATTTACAGGTTATGTTATATGTAGTCTAGCAATATATAATTGTTGTTCTTTGTCATCCTTTTCTGTTGAATTCTCATTGGAAAACCAAAAAGTATAGTATTTTTTGTTAAACTAATTAAAAGATAATTGAGGTGAAAGGTGAATCCTAGTCAAGTATAATAATTTTTAGATCTAGCTTAGAGTTTAAATGATATCGTTTACCTAGTGCTTAGAGTCGTGTATTCAATCATACGAACAATAAATATGGGAAATGACAATAAATGTAAATAGGAAGAACAATTTACCCAAATATCAAATGATGTCAAAGATTCTTCCTTCTGACAATGAAATATGGCAGCAAACAAGAATATGAGCAATACTTTCTTGGATCATGAGAGTAAAAGGGAAGAATAATTGATAAAATCAATCACTATGGAAATGTGAAGTTTGTATTTTCTCTTTGTATTTTCTCTCAAGGGTCAACTTCTTACAGTAGTTCTCTCAGAATCAATCTCCCTTGCCCCGCTTCTCCCTCTTTTTCTATTTACTAGTCTTAGGGTACGCGCTTTGCGCGTGTATCCTATATTCATAAATATACGATTTTGGAAAAAAATCTCTCTCTATCTTTCTTATATATACTACATAATATGTCTGGGTTGTAAAATAAAAAAATAGAAAAAAAGTAATATGTCATCACATAAGTCATCGAATGCCTTATTATTCTTGTTTTCTCGTTTGCTCCGCCAATATTGAGTTAATATTTTACAAGAAATAATATATAGAAAATATAGGCAGTTGTCACTCTTTATAATAATGAATGAAGAAAAAATACAACTCATTTAGAATACATTTTGTCTTTTAATATTTTATCCTTATCGCTTCAAATTTGCACTTAACCAACTTGATATAATCAATTTTTCTCTATCTCTAATTTTTCTTTTCGCCGGTATCTTTCTTATGAAAATTAAAATATATGTGCCATATGAGTTTTATCAACTTGAAAAATAATTTTTTGTATATGAATAGTTTTAAAAAGAAGTGAATTGAATTTATTTTGCTATTAGTTCTAAGAACTTAATTATTTATTTTTTAAAAAGTAATTTATTTTTATTCAAATTCTTAGTATGAACTCATCCAAAATTTTATATTTAACTGTAATTATAATTTTGTTCAATAAAAAATTATTTTCAACGGGTAAAATATCGATATGACATTTTACTTTGGACAGTTATATTTTCAAAATTATTAATGCAATTTACTCTTATTGACCACGTCTCATTATTTCTCGTTTAAAATCTGAAATATTTTTTACTATAAGTTCAAGATTATTAGTGTAATAAAATTATGATGTAACTTTAGAGTTGTGTTAGTAAATTCTCTTTTTGGACAAATCTTCTTATTCCTTATTTTTTTTCATGAGTTTGGAAAGAATGCAATTTTAAAGACCTTGAGGTTTAACCTTTACATCATTAACTTTTCATGACCAGATATTATAAAGGAGGAAGAGAAAATTGAGTGGTTGGTATGAATGGGTTAACTTGGTAAGTTATATTAGAAATATTATAAAGTTCAAAATGTTGGGATAGGGATTTACATATATTTTGAGTTGGTACATATTAGTAGTTTTTACTTAGTTCAAATAAAGAAAGAGTTAATGATCAATATATTTTAAAATTTCGAACTCCTAAAAAATACTCACGTTTAAAAAATCACAAAAAAAAATATTAGTTGATCTAAGAAGTCTTGTATAATGCAAAGAGTTTAACATCTAATATAACTTTTAATATGGTTAATATTATGTGTTTTAAATAATTAACTTAAAAGTTCAACTTTTAATATAGTTTACTTTGCAAAATTATTGCTAAGAAAATTATTTTTGTAAGTATAATTTTACTCAATAACTTTAATTTCCTAAATATTAGAAGTTCCTACATTATTCAAATAAGGAAAGATTTAATAGCCATAATTTTAGTTGATTTTAAATAACTCAATTTTAGGAAAATAATTAAATGACTATTTTGTCTAATATGAACTATATTTTAAGAGGGTAAAAAAGGCGAACGACATTTCGCTAAGGGCCTTCGTGCTTTTAATATAGTATAGATATGTGATGTTCTCTGAAAACCCTAAAAAAGTACAACAAAGGAAATGCTCTCTTAAATATTCCCATCTCTAGTCCCAAGACTACACTAGCCGTTATTCCTACTCCTCGTTATTCGACCTCAGCTTCAACGGCTTGCTCTGCTCGTTGTTGGGCTTCAGTCGACCTCTACTTTGCTTGTCGACCTTAACGACCTTCCCACGCCTAATTTTCTAAGTCCGATTTTGACCCATATAGATGCAATATTATAGCAGCGGATTCATCTCAACCTCGTATTTTCGTCATAGAACATTTTGAATTCACTAAAATTGTAAATAAGTACTAATAGATATGAATATCATAATTTTAAAAATATAATAAATTCAAATAAAAATATTAAAAATTGAACTCGTCAAAGTTAAATCTTATATTCACCAAAATCATACCGAGCATAGCATTCCATACTTGAAGGGCCATCCACATCATATGTCGATAAGACAAAACAACAGAAAAACATTCTCCTTTTTCTTGTCGACCTTTTCCTTCATTTCTTTCTCCTTAATCTTTTAATAAAAGAATTTAGGCGTGCAAAATTTATGTGCTTTCGGCAATCGGCATAGAGTCTAAGATCAATTTCTTTTTTTACTGGTCAACTCCAAAAGGGTGATGTATTTATGATACAATCATGCGTTCATCTTTTTGGTACGTTGATGCATATATTACACATCCATAATATTGTAATTTAATCAGATCTCAATCTTTGTTTGCTAGACAATCATGAATGTTTTTTTCCATGACTTTTCTTCTATTCACTTTTCTTTAATTTCTTTCTTTCTATTTTTCTTATGTATCATTTTTCACAATAGATTTAACCATATTTAGTAACGGTTTTAGAGAATCAAATAACTCATTTTATGTCTCGAATATTTGAGTTTGGGATTTTAAGGTTGTTGAAACTTTACTAATTAAATCTCTATAGCTACTAACCTTAGTTTTACATGATTATTTATAAGCTAATTATGGCGGCTTTCACTTGTTGGTCATCAAACTCTAATTCATTTCTTCCACTAGACTGAGCTCTGGAGCATCTTTTCACTTATCTTTATAAAAAAGTAACCCATTGAATTTAAATTAAAAAAAAAAAAACAAGCTAAATATGTTATCTTCTTTTGGTGAAGTGAATAAGTAAGTACTCAATATTTGGAGTAACTTATTCTAGGAAACTAATTCTCAGAATGATTTTTTATAGTTATAAGCGCAACAAAGATTAGACTAGAATTTTCTTTTTATATCTAAAACCTGGTGTATACACCAAGTATAACGTAACATGGTTAAACAATAATTTGAGATTAAAACACAAATTAATGAGTAACCGATAGAAGTGTATGTAAAATAGTACATATTAATTTTTAAATTTACTCGAACACTGTTTACACCAAACCAATGATAAGATGATACTTGTCTTCCGCATATTCTTTTATTACTTAACTATG